CTCCCCCCCTCCCCCCTCCCCCCGACGGAGTCTCCTGCCGGCCAGAGCCCAGCGGTGCTCTTTGCCCGCCAGCAGAGCGTCCAGGTGTTCCACCACCAAGCAGCCGCTGAAACCTTCAGCTGACAGCTGGCAAGGCAGCGGGGGAGCCACAAGTCTGAAGTGCAAGGCTTCAGGGGCTTGGAAAACAAGCCTCTGTCCGGATCATGAAAGAAGGATCATCCACAGAACCTTCCATAAGAAAAATAAGCAAAAAATGATGACCAAACCCCAAAACGCTGGTCTTCTCACCAACAGCCCTCTCGATTTTGGCTTGCTCCTGCAGAACCCAACACCACCGATAGCATGCCAGCTTTCCCCTAGAGCACAAAGCCAGGAGGCTACCGCCCTTGCCTCGTAGAGTCTTTGACCCCTCCACAAAGGATACCCCTCGCATGCTAAAAGTTCTTTGGGCTTAAAAATGTGGCCTTTTTGGGCAAGTGATCGAGATTGCATTTGGGATCGAAGACTCAACCTCTTAATTTTGGGGCCAAGACTCAAAAGCTGCCCACAGCTCCCCACCCTCTCCCCAAATGCTCCCCAAAGCTCCCCAAATGCTCCCCAAATACTCCCCACATGCTCCCCAAATGCTCCCCAAATGCTCCCAAATGCTCCCCAAAATCACCAGAATATTCGAGGCAAACATCTAACGAATTGAGTGGCTTTCGGGAAAGTTGGATTCAATAACTATTTTAGTGGGTACTTTGAAACCCTTTTAAGCTCTTTTGAACTTAAAAAAGAATGAGGTGTATGATTTGGGGGGTGAAAGACTCTATAATTGCCTGAACAAATCAAACTCTTTGCTGGTTCATGGGATACGTCAGACGCATTCTCGCAAAAGGAACGAAGGTCCAACTTGTCCAACCAAATAGACCAAAACTGTGCTTCTTAAAACAGCGGACCCCCTTTTTGGGGTGAGTGTTCCCCTTTTTGGCCTTCAACTCACTCCAAAAAGGTAACACTCAAGAAAGACACAACTGGCACCCCAAGCAAGGCCCCCCTTGCCCCAAGTAGCCACGAGGCCAGTGCTGCCGAAGACCACCAAGTCGTATGGCCGCGTCTCCGGCTCGACCTGGCACGGACAAGCGGTTGGTTTGTTGTCTCACAACTCAACCCCAGAATGTGTTGGTTGCTTGCCTGGTAATTTCCCTTATACCCTGATGTCTTACAATTTGTTCCTCACATGAGGGGGTCTTATTCCAGTTGCTTGAACCTTGGGTGCGTGTGTGTGCTTTTATAGGGAACCCCTGTTTGGGGGTTTGTTTGGTCGCGCGTTGCCACAGTCACATCATGCCTTCCAAATCCCAAAGCATATCCGCAGCATCCGTCTCCCGGAACCTCTACAGAGGCTCCACACCAAGCCTCTGGCTACCTGTTGGGGAAAAAAGGCACTGGTCGGATGTAAAGAGAATTGACATGTAAGACCCATGCTTAACGCAAAGGTGCTTGCCCGAGCTTGCCCTGATTGCAAAAGACCATATGTCATCTCATCATCGCTGCTTGACGTCTATCATGTTACCTTTGTCTCTTATGCCTCTGTCAATAGGCGCGTACGAGTCCTTGAATGCCGACCCTCACGGCCAGCATCTTTCGACCCCTGGAATGTCTTCAGCCCCACAAACCACTCTGGCAGCTAGCCCTGAGCCCCACAAGCAGAAGCCCTTCGGCCAAGTAAGAAGGAAACTGACACCATCTCATGATTTTTCTTCAAGAATCCTCCAGACATCCCCCTCCAGCCCCGCCGGTATTTCTAAGAAGGATCAGGCCCTTGCCTCGTCCAGCTCATCGAAGTCGATCATGGCACCGCGCGCCGCGCGCCGCCGCTTGTCGAGGCCAACTTGGATGTTTTCCGTGGAATTCAGGGGCAGGGTGGAGAGCCAGGGGCCCGATTTCTGTCAAGTCCTTTGGCAAAAGAAAAAGACACCTGGTGTGAGCCGTGGACAAGGGGCGCCATGAAATCCAAAACCTTTTCGTCACCGCCCAAAAGGGCGAGATGTGATTGCATCGCCGGCCATTCGGCGGAAAGAACAGGGCATTTGCTTTGCCGTCTGGAAGCCAAGTTTCAACCAACGAGTTCTTTTGTCGCTACGATTACTTCTCTGCATGGTGCAAGCAAACCAACCATAGATCATGGTGCGCACAAACCACGGAGAATTAAAGAGTTTCCTCGTCACCTACCGCTGTTGCCCTCTCAAGACATGCCAACCTCGCCGAGTTCGGGCCAAAGCCGCGTCCAGGGAACCCATCAAGGTATACACGTCCAATGGGCCAGGACTGTCCAAAGTACTTGGACCCTTTTCGGCTGGTCTTTGACACGTCTCGATATATTCCCCTTGACCATAGGGGTACCACTGCGAGACAAGCACGCAATCTCCAGGAAATCGTGCGAGCTTTCTTTGTTTCTTAGATCGCTCCAAATTCGCTTGTCAGTTCCATAGGCATGGCGGTTTTCCGCATTGCAACACTTCCCCATTTCAGTCTTCGCAAATGAGACACTTTCGTGAAAATCCCATCCAGCAAAGCACAACCTAGCCGAAATAATAGTTCAATAATTTTTGGTGGGAGAGAGATGTCAAAAAGAGCTGCTCTCTTTGGGCCCGGCTGCCATGTTCAACAGGACCGACAACCGTCATGCAGGGGCGTGCTTTCAAAGCACCCTACACGTCAGTTGACACACAGTCAAAGCAAAGGTCAAGCCCACAAGTTCAACTCAAACAGAAACACAGACACAGACACAGACACAGACACAGACACAGACACAGACACAGACACAGACACAGACACAGACACAGACACAGACACAGACACAGACACAGGCACAGGCACAGGCACAGGCACAGGCACCGGCACAGGCACAGGCACAGGCACAGGCACAGGCACAAGGCACAGGTAGACACAGACACAGACACACAGACACACAGACACACAGACACACAGACACACAGACACACAGACACACAGACACACAGACACACAGACACACAGACACACAGACACACAGACACACAGACACACAGACACACAGACACACAGACACACAGACACACAGACACACAGACACACAGACACACAGACACACAGACACACAGACACACAGACACACAGACACACAGACACACACACACACACACACACACAGACACACAGACACACAGACACACAGACACACAGACACACAGACACACACACACACACACACACACGGACACACACACGGACACACACACGGACACACACACACACACGGGCACACACACGGACACACACAACGGACACACACAACGGACACACACACACGGACACACAGAGACACAGACACACAGACACACAAACAGACAAAGAGCAGACAAACAGACACACACAAAAACACCCCACACGCGACCCACATGTCCTGGATCTCAATGCAAACCAAAACAATGTCAAATCAGGCGGAATGTGTGCACCTCCATCAGGCAAGCATGTGTGCTCGAAAAAACGGTTCCTGCAAAGCCAGAACCAAAGAACACCGAACCACACCGAGCTTAGGTGAACTCCCATTAGCTGGGAGTACCCCAGCTTTTTGCGGCAAACCCTGGAGCCACACAACGAGGCTTCTCTTTTTGCAGCAGCTTTGTGCACATGGCACCCAGATTTAAGTTCAGGCGCCAATATACTTGAGAATCAAGAAGCGCAAATTCCGGCGATTACCGGTTTCCATCATGCTCCACACCTGAGTGGTGAACCTCCAGAGTTGGCGACCAACTGCCCTCACTCCCCACCCGAATGCTGTATCATCAATGGAGTTGTCAGGGTTAAGCTCCTCTCTCGGAAAAACACTCGCATGGTTGATCAACAGCGAGCATGGAAGAATGAACAAATGCCAGCGGGTGCGAAACCAATTTTGATTGCGGTTTCTTGCGGGGCATTCCCTCGAAAAGTTGTTTGAATCCTGTCAAATGCAGTTATGATGCCATATAAGGCTTACATCACCTCAGGAGCGGCACTCATGGACCTGCCTACAGGTGTCTTGGACACCTCGACTCGGTTGCGGTGGCTTCGGCAAGAAAAGCGGACTGCACATATTGCGCATGGCCGAGTGAACATATCTTCAGCCACCTGCCAAATCAAAAGCCAAAGAGAGCACCGAGCGCGGCTCCGCCACGAGCTTCGCGGTCGGAAGTCTCACGTGGCGCCTAGCCTCGTGGCTCCTTCGCGTGGAGTTTTTGGCGAGGCCGGTCCCGGACCCCGCCCGAATTGACACCACGTCTAAGTGGCCTAGGACCTCACGGTCCCACAGGCCAAAATATGCTCAAAGTCTATGGGGCTCGCGCTTGTCTTTGGAAGCGCGGCCATTTCGTCATGCAGCGAATATATATCTGCGCATCAAAACAAGCAGAGCCCGGAGCAACTGGGGACTGTGTTGGCAAAGCATATTGTCGTGTGCCGGTGTTGTTCTTGCTTTTTTTGGGGGGGGGATGCCCTTTTTGGGGTTGGCTACGGAATCAAAGGGAAACCATCCATTTTGAGAATTTGGAGGCGTCCCCTCACGGCCTCAAGCGACGGACTACAGTACCAGTCAGTTCCCGCATTCGGGGTTTAGTCACCCCCTTTACCCACATAAAGGAAGTAGTTCTACTTTCACCCTTGTGTAAGGTGAGTTCGGTTGAACATAGATAGGCTCCGCTGTTTTCAGCTTGATTCTATGCTACTGGTGCCAAGTTCAATATATATATATATATACATTTGCATGCCACAAGGACACCTAGGTCACCTGAGCGGACAATGGGTTTCACAGCTTGGCCGCGGAAGTGAAACCGAGACCACGGATGGGTGTGGACAGACCCAGGGTGAAGTTACCTTGTGGAAAACACTGTCACAGGGCCCCATGCCGGCAAGGAATGTTCAAGCACCCGTGTCACAGCTTTGTTCAAGCGAGACCTCGCTGTGATCATGAGCTCGACCCTCGTGCCGGAAAGCATGTTCACGTTCACAGTTAGCAGGCAAACTGTCGTTTCTGGCCAATTCATAGCCCCGCAGAACTTCATAGCCCCAGGCTCGGTGCGCTGGAAAAATCATCTGTACTGTGGTCAGCCCACAAGGTCCAGGGCAGCCTCGGCCCGTCGGCCGAAAAAGGAAACTGCAGAAATGGGTTTTGCTGCGGATGGACCAAGGCACCAGTTGGGATGAATGACCCCTATGAATATGCACTGGGAATTTACCCTAGTGCGAAGTGGGGGGGGTTTGTCCATCCACAATAGGGTGTCTGTGTGTGTGTGCGTGTTCCCAATCAGTGAGAAGGATTTCGTCTAAATCGAACACCCCCAGTAAGCAACCAAAGTTGTCATTTATCCTGGTTTATGGGAAACCGGTGCCCGGCTTGCTGCAGGAACAGAGATGTTGTGGGATCACTCTCTCTCAATCCCTGGAAATGAACGAGCAACTTATGTCAGCAAGTTAAGCGAATGACTGCATCTCAAAACTGCACCGCGCCTGCTGTCACCCCAAGGATCTTCTTCGTTTCAAAGGCAGGAAGAATGATTAAACAAACCCAGAACAAGCGTCCCTTACAAAACTCGTCCGACCTGCGGCTGGCTGTTTGCTTTCAGGGGCCACTCGACCAAAGTCCCTACCAAAACCCACCGGGGGATGTTCCTGGGGTTAGCATGAAGCACCTGCGGTGATTGGAGTGCTCGACAATTGCTGCGTGTCCGCGTCTCCGATAGCTGTTGAGGCATTCAGCGCAACTTGGCTGTGGGTCAAAACCAATGGTACCATTTTGGGGTAGGTGCACCACCCATTTTAGTCTATTTTTTTGTGGGGATTGGGATTTTCACTGGGGGTACGGGGTTTTGAGCCATGGCCATTTAATATTTGCAGGAAGGTGTCATGACGACGAGGGCAAGGGCTGAGATTCTGGTTGAATGATGATAGGTTTGAGGTCGAAGGGTTGTTTTCGGTTCGGTTGCGGGCGGACTTCGGGTGGCCGAGGCTTTGTTTGGTGGTTGGATTAAGCTGGGTAGACTTTCGGATAGGATAGTTTGCATTTGTCTATAAGGCTAGGTTCCGGCTTGGTGCTGGGTTGGTTTAGGAGGGTAAGGGGTGCAAAAGCCATGCCAAAGCCATGCCAAGGCCATGCCAAAGCCATGCCAAAGCCTCCCTCCCTCCCTCCCTCCCTCCCTCCCTCCCTCCCTCCCTCCCTCCCTCACTGCCTCCCTCGCTCGGCCTCAGTCATGGCATCGTCTCTTGGTGGTCGTCCACCAGGAATTCCTGTTCCTCTGCACAGAGCTCCTGTGCGCGGAGCAAACCCGGAGCAACTCCGGGGTCCCTAAATTTGGGTCTGCGTCTGTTCGCGGCCCTCGGAAGTGGCTGGTGTCCTTTTGGCTTTCCCTCCAAACCAGAAACAAACATTGCCCTCAAGGAAAGGCACAACCAACTGTCCGCGCTTGGTGGTCGCTAACAGCGCCTTTCAAGGTCTTTTGAAGTGAGCTGATTTTCAGATGTTCAGGGGACAGAAGAGGGGCACCCCAGGTGGGTGTGGGAGGACTTTTAAGTTGACGTGTCCATCGGGATTGAAGTCCACCAGCCGCCTTTTGCGGGGGGTCACCATTGGAATTTCGTGGGGGTAGGACTGTGGAGAAGCTGGCTCAAACGATCCCCGATGCCTGCCAATTGACCACCGAAAATACCAAGGTGACAACCCATAACCCGAAAAAGCGGGTGTTGCTGCAGTGATGTCCAACATGGTAAGGGCGTGCAAACTTGGGGCAGCGGATGGATGAGCAACCAGGCCTCATTAGAGAAAAGAGACAAGCGCAAAGCAACACCTGCCAGAAAAGAGAAAAAACATCTAAAGAGCTGAATCTAAAGGCTGTGGAGTGCAAAATGATGCGCCGAGCTGCCGCTTCCTGCTTCTTTTTTATCTCCTTGGACACCTGGCGCTTGCACCCTCGGGTGTGGGCATTGAAAGGTGTGGCGGTTCAAAACATGTTTCCTAGTCAGAGCAAATGTTGGCCTGGCTTCCGGCTACGAGAAAATGCTTCATCAAGTCTTGTAGAAGCGCCGCCGGCAAAAAACAACAAACATGACAACTTGATTGATCCGCTTCGCAGCGATGAGAAATTCCAGCGACAATCAATATGGACATGTCCCCAAATGAAACGCAAATGGAAACGGCCCAGTTTTGGGGGGTCCCGCAATTTATTGAAAACACACATTCAACTTTTCAAACAGAAGAGCCGTACTTGTCACAAGAAACGGATCACCCCTCTCGTCCATGCAGCGCATCAATAGGGGGACGGAGCGGGTGGACGGAGGGTTGCTACTCATTTCAACTAGGGAACAAGTTCCTTGTTGTTCTTTGTTTCTTTATTCTTCCACTTCTTTGTTTCTGTGAATCTTTAAGTCTTTGGCTCATCATTCCTGCGTTTCTTTGTTTGCGCTTCCTCCATTTGTTCATTTCTGCTCCCCTAACAAAAGCCCTCGGTTCCCATACAGCCTGTTTTCCCAGGTGCAAGCTGATGGCCCGCACTCGGCCACCGAGAAGCGCCGATTCCCCGGCGGCCTGCTCCAAAATCGCCTGGCCCTCTTCGTTCGCACGCAGTAAGGAAGCGCCTCGGACTCACATGAGGCCAAAATAAAAGGCGTCGGCACGAACAGCGGAGCAACTCAGCGAGAGAAGCAACCGTTGAAAAGCGCAGCTCCTTTTTCAGTAGCCAACGACTGTTGAGTGCTGATGCTCAAGCGAAGTCTGCTTATTGCTTAATAAAGTGAGCTGATTTGCGATGGGACCTCTTTGGAAAGCAGCACACAGGAAAAGCCGAAGCCGGTGATTGAGAACACTTTTCCTCGGCCCTTTGCACATCCATGTCACATCACACCAAGCCTCCATTAGCTTCAACCAATCGAACACAATGGGATATTTTGCAGTTTTGCCTGCCATGACAGTTTCCATCTGAAACCAAGTAAAAGTAGACACCACCTTAAGCAAATGTGCATGTCCAAAAATGCGGGGGGGGGGGGGGGGGGGGATATTGGTTTCCTTCCTGAAATCAAATCCAATCTTCGTTTTCCGAGTGGAAGCCCCGAAAGAGAAGTTCACCAGTGTGGGTCCAGATTCGCTCTTTTGTGGCTGATGTGGGTCAATGGCGAGACCCGCTTTTGCATATGTCAGAAGCAGCCTTTGCCCAGGTTTGTTCCGGGTGCCCCCTTGCTTCGGGCGGATGGAATCCAGTCGCATGCCGGGTAGCACTTCGAGTCACAGTCCCCAAAGGTGGCTGCTTCAAAACAGCAGCCCAGAAAATGGTGGTTGTTCTCGTCATCTTGAACATGACCCCAAGCCCTTTGACCAGGCCGGGGCACTGAGGTTCTGAATGCTCTCGTTCACTTCAAGGGCCATGTTGCTCAAGTTCTTGCCGATGGACGCCCAAAGCCTCTCGTGAAGCCTCGGCACGGGGGACTGAATAGATCTTGCTTCGGAGGGGAAAAATGCGGTACTTTGCAACTGCGACTTGAGTAGAAATCAAGGAGTGGGTCACAATCGCCATTTCTTCTAGCCACTTGCTTCAGCCGATTGTCTGAAGCTGACTCGACAGCAACGCTTATGAGAACTCCTCCAAAGGCCACGATTTTTGGGTCAAGCCGGTTCTAGGCCCTGGTACCTTGAGGAACATCGGAGGCTTCCACACGTCCCAAAGCGGGACGTGAACCCGGGAGTTCCAGTCGTGGCACATGGGTTCCGTGTGTGCCTCCTCCTGGATGAATGGGTTCACCTTTCCGATCCCGAAGTTACACTGGACCACTCCAAGCAGACTCGAGTCGCTTTCTGCTCGATTGTTCCGTCTTGAAACAGATGCCAACCTGAAAACGAATGCCTTGCTCGACTGTCCGGCCCCCTCCTGCCTCTTTGGCTGTCCCCCCCTTTTTGCGGCCAAGATGCTGCAAGGAATGGTCTTTTGGGACTTCGGACATAGGCTTACCTCAGCCAAAAGGTTGCGCTTCAAACCACTGAATTGGATGTGTCCAACTATTGGACGCTGTCGCGTTTGGTGAAGAAGGTGCTTCGCTGGTAGAATGCCCGATCCCTGGGTGACTGATGGTGACCAAACGCGTCTGGTCCTTGCCGGAGGAAGAATGCACTGCAAATCATGATGTCGAGATTCGGCGTTTCTAGCGTCTTCAAGGTTCTCGATGCCTTTTCTTCACAAAAAGACCCGGGATGGAGGGAAGAAAGGGCCCACTTGGATGGGTGGTATGTATCCAGAGGCCTTGCTTCAGCGATGCTCCTCTAAGAGTCTAACTCGATAGGGCGGCTTAGGACGCGGGTAAGTGGGTTATTTGTTTGCCCATGGGCGCTTTCCAGGTACATTTGGTGGCCGCATCGCCTTCTGAAACACTTGCCATGAAAGATTGAAGGATTGTGGCCCTTCTGAAGTACTCCCTTGGCGGCACAACACATGTTGTCCCAAAAGGACCTATATGTCTGGCAACCCTTTGGTTGAATACTGCCAGCGCTTCTGCGGGAACCTGGCACCAGGAGAACAAACTAAACAAATCGCCCCATGTTGAGGTGACGATCGCAAGCCCGAAAATGACCTGGGTCGTGTAAGAACTCCCTCAGCTTGCTTTGCTGGTGACTGCGGTTGATCGTGTTGGGGCGGCCATGGGCTAGCGTCCTGTCATGCCTGTGCTCCCCAACATTTCAATCAAAATGGGGAAACCCCAAATGGGGAAACCCCAAGTTGGTTTCCCATGAAACACCCACAAGCACCACACCCTCTGATTGAAAGCGCGGCTGCAGTTTCCAGGACTTGTCCGGGGGGGATCAGTGAACAACAGAACAACACCATCTTCCCGTTGCCTCCTTTCCGGCTTCAACGTCCAGCTCGTAGCCAAAACCTATGTTTACCTTAACGCCAAAAGTACATGAGGGGCCATCGTTTTTGTGTGCACCTGTTTTGGGGTTGGTCCAAAGGCCGCTCCTTCTACAGGACCCCGTTTTGAGACAAACCAATATCCAGCATCAGACTCATGCACGCGGCCCTGTGTTCACTACACATCGGCGCCATAGTCATGAAGCTGTTTAAGTGCCGACGGACGTAAGGTGACCTGGCCCTAAACCGCCGTGTCGACTTGACAGCGAGACTCCGTGTGCAGGCCATGGTCGTGGAGGTGACTCCGTGTTCACTTAGCGAGCATGCTGTTGGAACACCGACAACATTCCAAATCTGGGCTGATCGCCTCAAGAAATGAAGCGTCGTAGGCTGTTCGAAGCCCCGGTACCCAAGACATGTCACGTGTCCCTCTGCAAGATCAACTTTCACGAATTGCCGTACGGATCCCTGGCCAGTTGACTGACTCTAACTTCAGCACAGAATTAGCCAGCTGACTGAAACCAGGCTCAACGCCCCCAAGCGCAACGCTCCTGGCCACAGAAAACACATCAGCGTGCCGGGCGGCCCTGGATCTCCCCGTCCGCGATCTTTCCTCAGGGACGTGAGCAGAAAAGGAGTCTGCCGTACTTCCTTTCTGTGTCCAAAAGCAAAACGAAGGGTCTCAAGGAAACCCTCAAAGGGTACAAGTTCAAGGATGTATGACTGGGGAGAACTCGCTTTGGTCTTCAAGCATGTGGCCTGCCAAGAGTGACATTAGATTTGCGCCACCCCCCCTCACATTGTCGATGGGGAAAAACGACCTGGAAGACAAGACCGTGAACCTTCAATTGGCTAAGCTTCTCCCTTTCTTGAAGGCAGATTTGTGGGTATGACATGTACAAACCTCTGGTCCACATTTGGCTCCAATTTGTGTGATCCCCGTAAGGCCTTTGTGAATGGGACCCGAGCTTCTCGAGTCCACCATGAGATCGGCAGGTTGGACGCCTCCCTAATTACGGGATCCCCAAATCGAGGGCCCACATCACGGTCACATTAAACTCCCCCAGGTCAGCTCGCCGTAGAATCTGCAGAAAAAGTCTCCTCCCAGCAGCTCAAATGAGCCTGGGCCATGCGCCGAGGGGCGCCAGTGCTCCGGGTCTGGGCCAAAGATCTTCTGAAGGAGCAAAGTCCGCATGCCCTCGGACAGTCGAGGCGGCGAGAAGCCGAGCCGGCCGAGGAACGGGAAAATTCAGGGGCCGAACGAGTTCACCCGAATCGATCTGCGCGTGGAAAACATCATGCCAGATCTGTATGCATAAAATTGAGTAAAAGCAAAAGGACCGCCGCGAACGCGCAAACTGAGACATGGTTGATACCATCAAACCCTTTTCAGGATGCTCGGCCCGAAACCGGAGCCCTACAAAAACCTCGCAAATACCGGCAACCGGTGGGACCGTCTTCATTGCCAATCTTGATTTTCATGTCCATCAACTGAAAATATGGATCCGCCCCAGGGCCCCTGCGTCGCTGAAGAGTTTGTCCGGCGACTCCGGCATCTTTTCGTAGGAGCCGTTCTGCAGCCGCCGTGTGGGAGGGACGTAGTTCAGGAAGCAAGTCCTCGCAAGGGAGGGTTTTGCAGGTCAGGCAAGGGGACAAGCCCAAAGTGCTGAAAAGGGCATTTTGTTTTACTTCCGGCCCTTTGACGGAAATCATTTGAGGATTTCCACCCCCTAAAACTTTCAAAATCATACCCAAATGCCTCAAGGCAATTTGGCCCCAGTCTTGAGCCATCCACCCGACGAAAGTGCGACTTGCTCGCCATACTTCTATCATTCACCTGTTCGAGATCGCATGTTCATACCAGGCGGCCAACGCAAATGGTGAGTGTGGCACTGGTCGTTCAGCAAATTAGTGAGATGCGTGCTGTCTTGTTGCCGTTGTGCAAACGTCAGTCATAGGACGAATAATGCTGGTCCAACGATATAAGTCTGAAGCAACTGCCGGAAAGTATCAGGCTCGTGTTTTAGCCCACTTTGCTCAGACTTTCAGCAAGCGCTCGACGCATTGGCCAGTACAACATACTGGGTCGGTCAAAGAGTACGGGGCTCTGGTTCTGCCCGCTGTTCACGCTTTCCTCTGAATTCAGCCACGCCGGGAAGCCATCTAGCCAGCCAGCCAATCATTTCCGGTTGGAATCTATTCACTGGTTGCCGGGCTCGAAAAACACCCGGAGAAATCAACCATTTGTGCTGATGCAACGGCTTGCCACCAGAATTCTGGAAAGGAAGTCGCTGACAAACTGCGAGCTTCAAGCCGGGGTGCTCCAAATCAGCCAGTAAAAGTGTGTTTCCAAATGCCAGGTCTTGTAGCGTTTGAAAACTGCCGAGGGGCAAGTACTGGAAGCACGGATTGGCGTTATCCACCTTGGAAACGGCGGGAAGGATAATACCACATACAGCCACGGGTCTGAGTTGGTCGAGGAAATGTCAGTGTACAAATGATATCCAGGGCATCTGGATTAATGGGCAATGATGGCAGAGCACCACCCCGGCTTTCTCCGCAAATTGTCCAAATGGGTCCGTCTCAAAATTGGGGGGGAACCCTTACATTTGTTGACACGGCCCTGACAAGGGTAATCAAAAAACACAACCCCAAAAACCTAATCCAAAGCGGACCTTTTTGAGAGCCGTTGCCAAGGCGTTGCCAAGCACAGGCCCAAAGGAGTCGACCAGGGCCTCGACTCGAACCACAGGCGTGACCCAAGTGGCTAAGTCAACGAACTCCTGGCTGCCCAGTGCGGGGAACCAGACGTCCCCGTTCCTCAGGTGAACACTGGATGAAATAAAGATCCATTCGTGCCCCTAGGCTGCTTGGCCCCAATAAATGGCGCTTAAGCATGTGTGTGTGTCTGTGTCTGGGTCTATGCCCCTGTCTGTGCGCGCCTCCATTTTGGAAGAGATGCATGTTTGGTCTTACAAAGCGTTGTGTGCCGCAGGCAAGATGTTGCCCCTCGATGCATATTTGGTCTTACTTAGCGTTGTTTGCCGCAAGCAAGATGTTGCCCCTCTGCAAGCGGCCGCCAAAGAGGAAAAGTTGCTCCCTGGAATCCAAACGAAGCTGTTGCTCAATCGGAGGATTCATAGCAAGCAGTGAAATGCATGGCAAAACAATGTAGAACATGTCGCTGTTCATGGGAGATGGGCTGTGTTTTGAGAGGAAGGGTACTAGATCCGAAGCTGGCAACAAGCGGTCTGCAACTTGAAGCTTCTTGAGGGCTCAGGAACTTCAAGTAAAAAGGCTTAGGAAGAAAATGCCTTGCTGGTCACAGGCAAGACACGAATCAGGCAATCAGGCTTGGGCCCCCCTTCTCTGCTCATGAACGGACAAATCTCTGGAAAGGATTTGGTTCGAAAGTGGACGGGATATAACCACACACTTTCACATCCCAACACTTTCCGGGAGTTATGCAAGCTATGGGGAAATCTTGCATGATGCGACGTCTTCCTTGCGCAGCAGGGATCGTTACAATTCCCCGAGCAGTGTGCCATTTGCGCTGACCAAGGTGTTGAAACAAAATAAAATGGCCATGACGGTACAATGGCAAACGCTCAAAAAAAAAAAAAAACGCTAACGGCAACCCCTCTGCAGCTCTGGGCCGCCAGGCTGGATCAAGGTTTGCCGATAGAGATTGAAGGAGCTGCGGCAGTGCTGGATTCCTGCGCGACGTATCCACATCCCAGCGCCATGCTCGGTGTCGGGAAGCTGAATGTTGTGGTTTCGGGAGCCCAAACGGCAGTGTTTCAGGGGTCTAAAGCACAAAGGTTCAAAAGGACATACAGCTGACTTCCAAAATGTCCTGTCAGCATCCAGACCTGCGGGAAACCCAAACCAACTGATACGGGCGAAATGGACGAAATGGACCTCTCCAAAAAATGGCCGGATTGGCGTCTTCGAGCACCGAATTGGCTCGGAGCATTCATCCACCGTGTCTCTGGCCGTATGAGCTGCCGAATCAGGTCCCGGGCCCAGGCTGCGAGCTCACCCCCCGACTCATGACCATGCCAGTCCTTTGTACCCGCACACAAGACACTCTCCCGCAAAAGCCACTTGAAGCAAGGTCTGCCCAAACTGGGCAGATCACCACAGCCGCTGAAGCAAGGACTCCCCAAGCAAGAACCTTCATAATTGAAAGTCGCGATGATTTCGGTTCAAGTGTCACACTCCGCAAATTGGATCCCATCCCGTCCTGGGCATGAATCACGCGTCGGCAGCCGGGGGCACTGAGCCGTCACGGGCCCTGGACATCGGACAAGATGGGTCAAGTCAAAACGAGCTGCACCGCTGATTGGCGGCTGTTGGGTGTTTTAGGGTTTGTGAGGTCTGGGGCTTTGCATTCATTTAAGTGTAAATGTGAATCAGCGGCTCGTGTGTGGGAATCATTTCATGATCCAGCAACTGTGTTTTTCGATGAAGCTTCCCAGCCATCTGCAAAAGGCACCGACATGAACACAAAAGCGGCTTTGACACGGTGAAACTCTGAGCCAGTTGCCGCTGGCTTCCATTCTAGTGCGTTGTCAGGTATGTTCAGCAAGGTTACCCCCACCCCTCTCGCCCCCCACACCCCCCAGTCAAGGGAACTTCCATCGTCGTAAGGTATCCCGAAGCTAGGTGTGAAAGAAGCGAACCAATGACAAATCTCTGTGGACAAAACCCAGAAATCCCATTTGGCTCAGTACAGAATATTGTGGCTCACTTTTCCTCTATCGATGCTGCCAAACAGAACCAAATTCACCAGCAACAATGATGCGACCATGCAGCCGAGCATGTTCAAATAAGCATCCAGCCTTACACAGTTGCTGTCATTTGCAATATCAGAAAACAAATGCGTTGTTGAACCTTGGGGATGATGTGGATGGAAAAACTTCTGCGAGTACAGCCTCCAATTCCCCAAGACACGTCATTCGCTGTCACAAATGGGCCATGGCTCAAGCAGGTGCAGAGAAATGGCTGTCAACACCAGGGTTGATATGGTTCATGCCTTCCGAGAAGGCCTGTGTGCCGCGCTGAAACCGGCGTTAACTAGTTGTCAACAAAGGATCTGTGTTTGGCCTGAAACCTGGGGCACCACCCACATGTACTAAACGTCCAAAAAAGTGCGATTTGCTTTCCCCGCCCTGTAGCTCTTTGCGTTCCGTGCTGAAGTTCGGCCTGGGACGGTAGAGCCCACGGGGCAATTCGCGAAGAAGCCGGCGAACTCTGTGAAGCACTCCAGGGACAGGTCGGGGCCTCGACATGACTGGTGGGATGTTTGGTGGGGGTGCTTTGTTTGAAGAGCACAGGGGGCCAAGTTGAATGCAAAGGGCATAAAAACACAACATGGATTTGGTGATACAACCCATGAAGCAGGGTGGGCTGCACATTTGCTTTTAAGAATGAAAGGAATGCGCAAAAAAGCTGATGGTATTTAACCCCACCCCCACTTGTTGAGATGACGCCAACAGTGACAACATTAACCAACCGCCATGTGGACATTGCTTCCACTAAAGTTTCTGTCCACCAGCCATTCGGGAGGTTGTGCACAACAAATACAGTTTGCCTTGTTCCGCCAAGAAATCCACAAAGGCACCTGCTAGAGAGCCGCGCCCCACACTTTCGAGGCCGCGGCATGTCTCTTGCACCACATCCTCCGCTGCCTGGGTCAATGCGCGGTCAAAACTCCCGTGGGCCGCGGTCATTGCTCCCTCAACTTGGCCCTCAATAAAAACCTTTGCCTTTGTCCCATTCATCTTCGAAGCAAGACCCTCCAGAACAAGGACCACGCCGGCTCCGCCTTTCTGCCAATCCGCGGGTTGTCGCGCGGCAACAGGAAAAACCGGGGGCAAACGTGCTTGGCTGGCCCAAACGCTTGCCAAACCAGGGGGGATGATATGAGTCCCTTCTCAAGCTGAGGAAGCTGTTCGGTGCTTCACCCTGTTCAATTTAGCAAACCATGGCGTTTCCCACGGTGCGTCGGACCAGTACAACTTGAAGGCTTCAAACAAGACAAGGAACCTTATGTGGTGCCGCAGTGCCTTCCAATACTAGAACGGAAAAGAACAAAAAAACTGAAACCAACCAGCATTTGAACACGGTCACTACTTACACACCTCTGGAACAAGAGCTGTTAGGACTTCTAGGTGACGGCGCAAGCAATGACCGTGGCTTGGGTTGGGACCCCTCGCCCTTCTCGACACTACCTCCTCTGCACATAAAGATTCAGTTCATGCACTGGAAAGAGTGAACCCGATTTGTCAGAAACCATCAGCCTTTGCGCTCAGAGTGGGTCGTGAACCCGATTTGTCAGAAACCATGGCAAATCGAAACACAAACGTCAGCTGCCAACATCTGCCTCGTTCAGGTAGTCCGTGGTGAATTTTGTGATAAGCGCGGTGGTCTTGTTGATCCTCCTCAGCGCGGAGGAACGGAAAAACAAAAGCAAGGCGGGAAAAGTACTCTTCCCATCCACAAAACCCAAAGGCGCCGCACAAAGGCGATTCCAAGCGGCCAACCGCAACAAAGGAGCTTCCAGAATATAAGGCACGCGAACCCCTCTATCACAATGTTCTCTAGCTTCTCCCCAAGGATCCATACCGTTCTTGACAAGGAGTCGTTTGGTGACAAAATTTTCCCAAACATGTCAAGGAAATGGCAGGGCGGGCTGGACCCCTGGCAATGCCAACATGCAACGCTCTCTATGCGTTCCGTTACGAAGCAGGCCTGGTTTGGTGAAAACTCCGGGAGGTCATACAGCTTGCTACACTCATGCCAGCACAGATGAGTCTCTGCCCAACAGCTGGTGCCCCACGCCACTGTGCGGCTTTGGAATACTGAGTGGTAGAGCCCAATCGTGTACACGGCGCACGGGTATATCCTACGGGGCATGTAAAGACATGAGAGAATCTAGGACTTGTCCTGGGTTTGATCTAATTCGATGCTGGAGATCAAAAGAAGTTTGTGTCTGCTTTTGTTCTGCTTGTCCATGCACATTGATCTCCATGCAACCTATTTTGGCTTAAGGCCCTTCCTTGTAGACATTTCTGTAGTGTGGCAGATCAACAGAGAAAAGAGCCTCAGCTGCGGTGCTCTAGAGAATCGTCTGAGATCAGTATCTGCCGTGGCCATGACATGTCTCCCTAACCATGTGATTGACTCAAAACCATGATCTGATTAGATGCAACAGTGCGCATGCGTCATCAAAAGTTGTACTTCGAGTAGACAGCTAGTTCTCCAAGAACTCTCTGTGTCTTTGGCAATGTGAAACGCGCGCCTCAGCTGGCATATCGGCGTGGTCAAAGTCCATGACAACAATTCTGCATGATCGGAACGATCAACGCGGAATCTTGTCGGTCGGCAGTGTCGCGGTACCGTGTTTCACATCTATATACCGTCTCTCACGACACGGTTCGAGAAAGCAATGTCACATTTCGATTCGTGATAATCATCGCCAACACCAAGTGTTATCTTGCTGTTGTTCTTGGAGTCAGACCATGATCAGTCAACTCCTTGCCACTCTGCTGTGAAGCATTGCGCCGGTTTGTTTTCTTTCGCTCTTGTTGTTTCCTTCTTCTGCTTAGTTGGCTTTATATTCATCATGTGGATCAGTCAGCATCGCACCTTCCACTCATCAGCGGTTCATTTTGGGTTCATTCGCGGTGGCCTAATAATCCTCGAAGGTGTAGGTGAGATCTTCTCAGTCATAGTGTCTTGCACGCTCTCATGCTCGTTTGTCTCTTTGCCCCCTAGTCTTTGGTCTGTCATTTCTCTTCTTCTCGCCGGCTTCAGTTCCTCCTTTCAGTCGGTCTCGCACTCCAAAGATCTCACCTAGACCTGCTCACGCACTTCCAGCGCGCATGTTCTGGAATGGAAGACAGATCTTGCGCAGTCTCTGACTCAGTCTTGGCAGATGTCGCTGAAAGTAAGGTGAGGGACCTTTCTCTTGCTGAGGCGCTTCTTTCTCGTCTGGCCACCAGACATCGCTCCCTGGTTTTCCATCTCATCTTTTCGGACCTTTGTGGGTTGACCTTGACCAACCTTGTCCTAAGATCAAGTTTGACCATGGCTCCTTCCGACGAAATGCCCGTGCCCTTTTCAACCCTATGCCTCCTGCGCAAGACCTCTTCTGACGTCTTTTTCCGGTCGGGCTTCTTGAAAACTGGACTGAGAAAGCTCCAGAGGTTGTTGCTTCCTTCGGGCCCTGACGTGGGCTTGGACACACACGCTGTCTCGGTTACTGATGGCCCTGCAGGCGCCAACTTGACGCCTTCATCGTCGTATAGACACAGTGACTGAGGCTCCATGATTCTTGTTTTGCCACGCAAGCAAGATTGACTAGAGCATATTCGGCACTGGAGGATGGAACTGGTTCACGACACATTGCAAATGCTTCGCGTGTGACGTGGTCACAGTCAGGAGTGTGCTCAGTGCTCACGTGTGAGTTCGAGAAGTGTCGGAACTGCACCTTGCTCCAAGACGCCGCTTGTTTGCGCTTCCTGTCGACCTGAAGAACTGAAGGATTGCGTAGGCGCTAACGGGAGAGTGCTCGCAAAACTTGTCGACAGTGAAACGCTAGCGTCTCATAGCTATAGTTCTCAAGCGGAATGTTTCTCAACGACGTTCCGCTGACCAATCTGGTTAGCTCGCTCTGAATGATGAAGAATTGGGCGACCAGGTTACCACTGAACGGAAACGAGTCCCGGTGTCGCGCCGTCGTAGTCTCGACGTGTCGCCCAAGCGTCGGGATCATCTGGATCTGCATAAGCTCCGGGCTGCACGTGAAAACCTCGTGATGTTTCCCGGCGGTTGAAGAAGCTGAGAAGTTGGCAAAGGTACACGTTCGTAGATCCTGTCAGGAAGTATTTCTCGAGCGTTCTTGAAATACTTCACTCCTTCAACACGGTCTCTGAGCTGATCGCTCTGGCTCCACTGCTTGGAGCGCGGCCCGATCATCTATCTGAGCTCCTCATATCTGAACCAGCTGACACGTCCGTAAAATGGCGGCACCTGGGCAGCAGTTGACCAACAGATTATTTCCGCGGCAATTCCCATCTGCTTGTCGGTGCTGGCATAGGCCTCCACGAAAGCTTCTCCATCTGACGACATGTTGCTTTGTCAAAAATATCTGCTCCGTGCCACAACTGTGCACGGATACTGAGGGGCTGCAGCCCCAATTGTTTGCACGGCGCATGTATCCCTGAATCAATTTCTGAGCAAGCAAGGACATGTCTAATCTTGATGGTTGAAAATCTAGGTCAATTTGCTACACTACAGTAGTTTCTACAAAGAAGGGCCTGAAGCCAAAGTAGATTGCATGGAGACGCCCCGATCTAGACTTGCAACCGTGGGAAAGTAGAACCTGCATGGATTTCCGACGACGAGATAACCCCCGGTTGCAATTCGAGGAAATTGCCATTTGGAAGCCTGAGTATTGACCGACCCCCTGGTTCATCAACAAGGTCAAGCAACAAAGCAGGCCCCAAAATAGAACCCCCCAATCGAGCATCCAGGTTCAACACTTAGCTGATAGGAGACATCCCCTGATCCATCCTCAACTGCTGAATATCTCTAAGTGAAGAGGCGTTGAGGCTGTGCGCAAACTCCTGCCGTTGTCCAAACGGCTTCCGCTCATTTCCAAGGGATTGTTTTTCACCTACTCGTTTCAACACTCCTGAGATCTGCGGGAATATGTGGCCATGAAGACGGCGGACAGGAGGCATGGCACCATCCAAGCGAGGTACCACACTCTGACGAGCAACATGTGGTATGTGTTGCTTTGGGCTTCTGAAGGAAACCAACTTGAAGCCTGCCTTTAGAGTGTCCGAGTGGTGTTTATTTGTTTGGTTGTTTGTTCGTGCGTGCGATTGTGTGTGTTTTTTTTCTTTGTGTCAAACTACAACAAAACATCCCAACCGAGCTCACCTGTCTGTTGACAAAAACGACCCCAAAGCCAGGCACCAAAAGCAAACGCTGCAAGGGGAACTTGGATTGGTACCTTTTGCCGACAAGGCGCCCGCCCTCTGTGCAGGCTATATAGGCGGCGGCCCCGGATCCAGCAAGGCCAGCCAAGCCTGCCTCTATGCCTGGTGACGAGAACAGGGAAGCAGGCATGGAGCAGGCGCATTGTGTGAATGGATTCGAATGGCCCAAGGGTGTACGAGAAGCGTCCTTCATGCTAGTCAATTTTCTCTACACAACCTAGCCACGCAAGCTCCCAGCCACGTAAGCTCCCAGGATGCTATAACCCCTCCCTCCCGCGTTGCCCTCGCCTGCCACACCGGCACCGCAAATGGCCTTTACGTTGGCCTGGTTGGTGCAGTGGAACCTCAGAAGCACCCACCACGGCCTTTGCTCAAAGGGCCCCGAGGACCTCATCCGCACAAATCAAATTAAGTCACCCTGCTGAAAGCGAGGAATTGCCGAACACCTCTGATTGACCAAATATGTGCTTGAATGTGTCCCAGGGCCCCTCAAATATCAGACGGGACATTCAGCGTGAAGGGGTTCATGACAGTCCCACACTTCAAGCAATCAAAGCTCGTCCATCCACAGCGGCGGACGGTCCACTGCTGAGGCCAACAGGCCTCTCGTGCAACGCCACACCCGCATTGTCTGGGTGAGCCCTTGCCAGGCGCAATGGTACTTGGTACAAGTTGGGTATTCTAACAACTGGATTATTTTCGAATGATCACACGCATGATCACACAAGATTGCCCTGTAAAACAAGAATCACGGTCCCGCTGATCCTTCTGACGCCTGAGGCTTGCCACGAGGTGAAGGAGAGGAAGACCACAACTACTCCTGCGTCCCGACCGTCCCGATGGACCCGATGGACGCAAAAGAAACGGGGGGGTGGTCTAGAGGACCAAACCTGCGCGCCGAAGCTCCGGAGGCAAATTTTGGCGCGAGCTCTTTGGAAATCGCTGAGCGGTCTATATGAATTGGAAACTCGTTTGGCCCATGTACACCAACTCTAGCTGCAAGCTTCCCATTCATTCCAGGAGGGGTGCTTTTCAGAAAGCAGACCAAACCCAATGAGGAAAGCGGATGTGAAACATGCAAGTCAATGTAATATGGGTGGGACCAAGCTTGTGGTGCCAACCACCACGCTTCCGCAGTGTTCCCCAATACCCGCCGCGTCGCGCTTGGCTTCTCTGGAAAGGGGCATCACTTTACATCACCGAAATGAAAATTATGCAACGCACACAATTTCACAGCGCAAATGCACAATCATTTTTACGACATGCATTCAAAACAGCGAAGACATTGACGAGATTGGCGATCATTTTGCAACACGTGGACAGAAATTTCGAACTCTTCCAACACACAGGCCCAATAACGGCAATCACTTTGCTACACATGGACTTGAAGCGCAATCATGTTGTTTGGGCATGGGTGGCACCGCGATGGAAAACGATCAGCATCTTGTGTTGTATGTTGGATAATAATGAAATTCCGGCGTTGCCAGCTGACGCCGGCCGGACTGCGGCTTATAAGAAGCAGCTCTGCCACCATAAACCTACAACGATTGAACCTCTTTACGCAGCAAAATACAGGTGAGTGGCGCAGTTGGATGGTCAAAGGGTGCCCACGACCAGTGAGAAGGCTCAGAATCTACTGGTCCGCTCTTTCAAGACAGCTACAATGCACTACAGCGGGCTTTGCTACTGGGAATGAAGCTGTTGTGACTTGCATGCACTGGAAAACATATCTGATATAGTACTGCTGCAAAATGAGACCTCGGAATTCTGTATTATTGCCTATTCTCCCAATGTTCGTTGATGATTCTCCCTCACACATATTCCTCGCCGGTCCTTCCATACGGTCCATCCCTCCCCCCCTCGGCTGCGCTCCGAGATTGGCCAGAACTCCGTTGATGCCCAGAGCGCAGGCCGCCTGGCAAACGCTTCCGCATCCGGGGGGGGGGGTTGCTATCTTTCACACGGAGCCACTGCTTCGAGAGCTCCCTGGCCTGAAACGGCCAGGTTTCCAGTTTCAGGCGAGCCTTTGTTGGTTTCGGTTCTGGCTTGCCGGCGCTCGTTAAAGACCGGCCCAAAACAACAGTTGGGCTCCAATTGAGATGCCCCGTGGCTATGGCTAAAGATCTGCCCAAAAGTTGGAACACGGCAACTTTTTGCGCCACCAGCCATGTCAAACCAACAGCACCACCTCAAACCTCTCAGCCCCAACTCTTCCGTCCCCCACAAAACCTCCAGCCATAGGTGTCCTAGAAAAATAGATAACCCTGGTAGATGATTAAACCACCAGGTAAACCAGGACTCGCCCTCTATTTTTCTACCAAAACCACCGAAAAGGACACCTCTGCCTCCAGCCCCTCCCCTCCCCTCTCCGAGCGGGGGCGCGCCCGGACGGAGTTCTCCACTCGGCTGCGGATGGGCTTGGGGATGGCTTTGGCGAAGGTGATGCCCAGGAAGGGATTCCGGCAGTCCGCCTCACATCCACCGGCCTTCCATCCATCCGAAAGCATGAGGTGTCCACCTTGCCAACATGAAACCGGCGGAGAAGAAAAAAAGCGTAAAGTATGTGTGTGTGTGTGTATATCATATGTACATGTTTTTTTATTCTTTTCCAATCTCCTATGTTGTACATATACAAAAGAGACCCCATCACTATTCGGGAGTGCAGGCTGTTGATACCATCAACATCGCAAACCGCGGACCGCCAGCCCGGAACCAAATCATAAGCCCAGGTATCAGCCGGAAAAGTCGCTCACTCTTCACCCTTTTCTTTCCTGGGAAGCGAAAACCACTCCATTCCATCCCTGAACCCCCCCGCCGCGGGAGAACTCAGGCCTTGAAGCCTTGAAACCTTGACTCAAGGCCCTGAGGCCCTGGCGTTGGCGAGTGAATCCATGGTCACCCCCATCAGCGCCAACTGGGTGAGGGCTTGGGCGATGTCCACCACACACTGGGTCATGATGTTCTCAGGGCCTGGCCAAAGAAAAGGAAGAAGAAAAAAGACTCCGACGCCATCGAACCGTGGAGGAAAAGCAAAGACAAACAGCCCAAAAACAAAACAAAACAACAAAACGGAAAGCGACACCTCAATCGGATCTTCCAAAAGTGCCAGGTACATTATAGAAGCAGGCCCTTTGCTTTGAAACTTGACAGAGGGCAGCCTGCACCCGCCACCCTTGAAAGAAGGCTCTGGGGGCATACACACTGATGCCGAGCTATTTGAAGACTTCCAATTCGGCATGCTTGAAGGAGCGACGAGGAGATAAAAAGCCACAAGAAACACGCAAGTTGCAGGTGTTGAAGCTTGCCGCGTTCGGAGAAATTGGCATGGTTGCCTAACAAACTAGTGGGGAAAAAAAATTCTCGGAGAGTTGAGCAGGTAAGGAGAGCCTCGAAAACCTCAAAACGGTGTTTGCATTGTTCTTTTGGAAGATTGCTTGTTCGCCGACAGCAACTCGTGACCATGAATCAAACAAACCCAGGTCCGCTGATTGCAGATCAGCTGCCAGCCGAGATTTCAGCCGGCGTCCGAGTTCCACGAAAGAAAGAAGAGCAGAATCCAGGTCCAACAAACCTCCCAACTTTAGCACAGGTCCAGGCCCACAGTCTGGGCCTCTCTGACCCTCCCTCCTCTGCTCCCTACCTCCTCCCAGGAAGAGGCGCCGCCCAAGCGCCACGGGCCCTGCCGCCGCCGCGGCGGCCCCAACCCCGGAGGTGGCGCTGGCGGTGCTGAAGGCGGCGGCAGCCGCCGAGGCCCCGGCGGCGTTGATGGAGGGCGCGATGGCGGTGCCCGTGTCGCTGCCGAAGTTGTCCTAACCCACGCGACAAGCCCGGGGGGGGGGGGGGGGGGGGAGGGGGTCGGTTTTGCTTTTTTAGAGAACCGGCAAACCCCTTTTGGGGTAGGAGAACCTGGGCAAACGGCTCGAGGCTACCGCGTTTTTTGGATGGAAACCCTTTTGGGTGAGGAGAGCTAGGAAAAAGCACTCATTTGTGTGGAAAACCCTAATTTTGAGAGCCCAGCAAGCAAAGATGAGAATAAAGGAGAACGGTATCTGGTTGTATCTGATGAGCAGAGACCGAAGATTGCAAGGGAAAACCCTGGAAAACGTCCAACAGGGCTGTCTCAATTTTCGGCACCATCAGCTGTAAAGCCAATGAAGCGGAGAATAAGATCAACTGGGAATAGTGTTCGCAAGCTTTCTCGAGTGTGGCCAAAACGGCGCCAGAACCATTGCAAAACTTTCCGAAAACGGCCATTGCAGCTCACATTGCCTCCACAACTCAGCTTCTCAGAAGCTATCTCGTGTCGCAAGAAAGTACGACTTTCTGATCTCTGCCATTAGCTGCCCTTTGATGGTCGGCAGGCCTCTTCGGTCTGCCCCTGATGGACTAATTCAAGGGGCCTTACCTGAACTGGACCACACTGTGCTCTCACAAAGGGTCGCCCTGTGTTTGACCACCAAGCAGCATCGTTAGAAACAACACTTTCTGGCCAGTCACCACTTTCCACAGGCAGCAGGTGATCAACAAACCTACATGATCTAAGAAACAAACCGACAACTCGGAGACGCGCAGATACGCTTTGCAAATGAAGGACGGCATCAAATAAACAACAAGGTGAACATGAGGATTCCTTTTTCGGCCACAGCAGCACTCGCTCTACCCTCGGCTGTCAACTCCATCTAGCTCCTCAAGCCTGCCTACCAAGTTCAGACGCAAACAGACGCCAAAAACATGAAGCGAGCGATGGCGGAGAAAATCTCACTTTCCAGTGTGACAGTCATTCTGTTCCACCTGCTAGCCATGGTTCTGGAGAAAGCTGCTTGTAGAGAGCTTCCGACATCTGCTTCAGCTTGCCTGCGGTTCGCGAGTTGCAGCTCAATTCCGGGTGGCTTTGTCCCAAAAAAAAAACAACAGTTGCCCGCCAATCATTGCGAGCTCCTATGCGGAAACAGGCTGCCTGATAACATCTGCACCATATCTATGTTTGGGCTGTCCCCCCACCCGCTGGTTGTTTTCGGGTGGTCACGTCCCAAAGCAACAAACTCTAGTTTTGACACGCAGGAAAGCCAACTTGTTTCGGCCCAAAACGTGGGAACCACCCAAATCATGGACTCGAGGCGAAAACTTTCAAACCACCGTTGGACATTGAGCGGTACCCAAGTGTGCTGAGCACCGCTTTTCTCAGGCTGTTCAGGCCTCACAGTGCCACTGCGAGATAACGTGGGCGGAGGCACTGGATGGCTCACATTCTTCATAGACGGTGAAGCTGCGAAGCGCTGAAAGTGAAGCCACCTCTTGTACTTGATTTCTATGAACCCTTCCGATGGAAAAAACTTCTCAACTTGGTGAACTCAATGGTGGGCTCAAAGTGCGACTTCCGTCCGTATGCAGCATTATGCGCTCCCTCTAACATCTGAAAACCGTGTGAACCTGTGCTTTGATTTGGTTTGACTGGAATCCTGTTGGGCAGGGAACAAACATCCACTGTTCCTTCCTGCAAGTAGGACTCCAGAAAAAAACATTGAGCTATCTGCAAAACTCAGACTTCTCAAACCTCGAAATGAGGGTCATATTTTTCAAGGCAAACCTTCACCGTGCACGGTTTCGGTTTACCCCCCGAATCTTGTGATCGATGTGGTGCACCAAAGCAACCAGAAGATTCTCAGAAACGTCTTCAGCTTGTGACGGGTTGTCAATGAAAAAGATCCAGAGTTTGTCCACTTTGGCCAGGGCGCTGGGGTCGACGTTCGTCTTGCCGAAGTTTGCCGGGCCGCTCCTTGCGTGCTCTGCATGACAAAAGGCTTCATATCTGACCCATTGAAAAGCTGCTCATGGTCCAATGCAGCCGGGTGCCTTTCCAAACCTCTTTGCATTGCTTTTCTGAAGGAATCACCATTTTAAACTACCAAATCGCAATACCGATTTGTTTCAAGCACCTGAAGTGCCATCACGGGCTCGTTTTTCTAGAAGGCAAACCCCGCCTGGGGGCCACAGATTTGGGTGTCCTTTTTGAGGATTTTGGAGGGTGCTCCCTTTGCTGTGATTTGCAGGAGAACCAAAAGGACGGCTACTGGTTGTTTATGATTATTATTAGTATTGTTGGTACTCTTACTTCGATTATTATGATTCTGCTTATTATTATTAGTAGTATTGGTATTATTTGTTTTTTATTGGCATTTTTGTTTTCATTGTCAATATCATGATCATTGTCATTATCATTTTTAGCATTCGTAATATTATTAGTATTTATGATTATTGTTATTGTGATTGTTGCTGTTGGTTCTACTAGTTATTGTTGTTATCACTACTGTAATTGTTTCTAGTACTATTATTATCATTGTCATTAACATTATCATTATCATTATCATTATTATTAATATTATTACTAATAGTATTGGTGTTATGATTATTGTTGTTATCGACAATATTTCTATTGTTATTATTTCTACAAATTATTATGATTGTTCTAATTATTATGGTTACTATTATCATTATTACTGTTGCTGTTCATATTATTTATTTTGGTTATGATTAGTTTGTTTTCTATAATTGTGAGTATGACTAGTATTATGATTATGATTATAAATATTGTTACTATAATTATTAATATTATGATTGCTATGATGGTTTTTTATACCTATTTTATTCTATACATACATACATACATATGTTAACATATATATATATATGGTACGCCCCCCCCCCCCCTGGTGCCTAGGTTTCGCTTGCGTTCAGTCATTTTTCCAGGTAATTTTGCATTTTTGGGCCAAGTTTGGGCACCAAGAAGGGGGTGTGCCACAATTCTACAATTAAGAATTCTGGACCCAAGATTGCTGGGAGACGTTCAATGTCACAATCTGGAATTCAAGATTCAAGACTTCAAAACAATCTTTTCTGGAATCCTGCAAATATTAAGTCTTGCGTCTCATACTTTTTCATTTTTTTGAAAAAAAATATGGGATTCAAAATTCAAGATTCAAAATTCCCAGAAAAAGATTATTTTGAAATCTTGAATCTCATGGTTAAAGCAATTTAAGATTCAAGATTTCAATATAATCTTATTTCCTGGGAATATTGAATCGTGAATCCCAGAATTTTGATATTTTTTAAGCAAAAAAAAACTGGTGTGTCCCAATACTCTCGGTGTTCAACAAGATTCTCGGAAAAGCTTTCCGTGAAATATGTCAATCTTGAATCTTCAATCCAGTGGTAAAATACGTTCGAAATTTTAGAACAACTTGATCATGTTCAGGGTTTTGAACAGGCTGGATGATTCTTAGGAAAGTTGTTGTTTGTGCAATCCTCGATATTGAATCCTCAATCCAGTGGTACAGCACTTTCAAGTGTGAGAAGAACTTGAATGTTGTTTGGGTTTGGCCGGGATTGACAATTCTCAGGAAAGTGTTCCGTGTAATCTTCAATCTTGATTTTTCCATCCATTGGTAAAATACTATCAAGTGCTTAGCGATTTAGTGGAAACACTTTCAAGTTATTAGATAGACAAATTTTCACTTGCTTTTGGTGAGCGGTTTGCTTCATGTTAGACATGAAGCATGTTGACCCTTTTCCAGGAGGTAAGCAAGGGTAGGTGTAATGCTCAAAAGAACTGTGTTTTACAGTTTTTTTTTTTTTTTAATGAAGAGGCGCAGGATCATTAGGGGTACTGTATATGTGTGTATGTATGTGTATACATACATATATATATATATATATACATACATATGCATGTATGTTCACACACCGTCAACCCCCCCCCTCTTGAACTACCTCTCCACATTTGCTCATCTACTACCTCCGCCTTTTGAGATAGAATGAGCTTTAATTGTTGTCCTGTGCAAATAGAACTTGAAATACAACTGATTCAGCTAGAATCCCTGTTTCGAAATAGTTTTAGAATTTGAACCTCTCTTCCCTTGAAATTTCCTTTTGGAACACCGTCTAACAAGTCTAATTTCGGACCTTTCTTATGCTGCAAAAGGGCCAGGATATAAATAACACGGATCGTATTTCGAATTTCCTTGTAGAAGTCCCTTAAATGTTTAGCCATTTTTAATACGAACTAAATTTGAGAAGTAGTCTCTATTAAACTGTTGTTATGAAAATCTGATTGAGTTGTGTTCGTACTAGATTATATCTAACACTTAGATTATATTTGGAAATCAACTCCTAGCTTCTTTTGTTGAAGATTAGTTGGAGTTTGCCCGAAGCTATACTTATATTCTCATGTAGCTCCTATTTGGAAAGGATTTGCTTATATAAGCTGTAGTTGAGCCAGGTTTGGCATAACCACATTTTTGAAAACTATATCCTAACCAAATCATATTCAAAAGTCTGACTCTAGTTGAAGTAACCAGGTATCATATTGGGACATTTCGAATCGTGCCATGATGGACTGCAAGCCCATTCGTCTGTGCTTAAAGTCCGTGCAAACAAAAATAAACTCTACAGCCTGCGCGCTGAAATCAACCAAAGCCGAGGCACCAGGGGGGGGGGGGGCGTTGCATATGTATATATATATATGTATATCAATGTATTTTGTTGGGGGGGGGGGCACCCGAAAGCACAAACAAATGTCAAGACGAAAGACCCAGCAGACCATGACCGCAACTCGCATGTTTTACATCTCATGAGGGCTGGGGAGCGGGCCCAGCTGTTTTACAACGGAAAGCTACATGGAAGCACCTATCCAAAGAGCCAGACATATGGCCCCGTTTCAATCAACACCAGAACACCATGCTGGCCGGTTCTCAATTCAGCCCCAAAGTGGGAACCACTCGTTCCATCAACCGCGGGCTTATGAGTACATCAACAAGGACAATAGTTTGAAAATCCCGAGGTCGATTCTTTTCCCCCCAAAGCTTGCAAAGGGGGATCAACAGATCCGACCAGCTCCTCATTTGCCTGGCCAAAAACTGCAAGACCAAACATAACTCAAAACGCCGAACGGTCAAAACCTGAAAAAGAGGCCCCAACTGGCCCCAAAGGACCCAAGCCCAAGCCCCAAGGCACAAGGCACCAAACGTCTGCATTCCTTGAGCCAAATCCCCAAATCACCCAGCGCCCGCAAAGCCGAGGCTCGCTCCGATGAGATTCAGGCCTCCGCTGAGCTTCTCCTCGATGTGCTGCGCCACAATCTCGCAGCCTCTCCGAAAAGAGACTTGCGGTGGATGGGCGAAATCCATTTCGCACCACCTCAAACCCTGGAATGATGGCACCAAGAATCCTGGAATCATGATTGCCCTGTTCTTCAGGATGGGCGGGCGAAATCCCTGGAATTTCGCACCAAGAACCCTCATGACCGAGGGTTGCTCCTATTCGACAGGGGTAGGAAATGAAAAGCAAAGCTCCATAAAATATATTTGTGTGAATGTGCTAATGGAAATGTTCAACCATGGTTTCAAAGTGGTTCAGGATTTCGTCACCATGGGTGTGGAATTTAAAAACGGACCCGTTGGTGGACTGGACATCATTTAGCTGGGGATTCATGTCCAACTACTTCTGAGGCGGCTCCCTGTTAGAATTCATGGCCGTATGCCTAAACATGGCTTCACCACCTAACCCTCTCCTTCCGGAAAACACAAGAAGCCAAGCAAAACAACCACAAAAGCAATAACACGGTCCGTGCTGTGGTCGATCAACAGGCCTTTGGTCGGTGATCACGGTCCCCCAAAAAAAGATGAAGACACAGGTCCAACTCATCGCTTCTTCCGCGCAGGTCTTGAGCCAAGGCACCCACAATGGACAGCCTCAGCGGCCGACACTGGTTCCATGCTTGAATTTAGGGGTGAGCAGGAAACATCGGGCGGTCCATTGCGTGTCTAGCATAGAACCTTGATGGCACTTAAAAGACCGGACATCAAGAATGGGCAGCTAGTATGGAAGCCAAGCAGACTGCCTGGGGAACAACCAGCGCCGTACGTGCGCACAGTTCCGCAGCCCCTTTTTGCGCTTCAGTTCTGGACGGCTCTGTTTTGGAACTGGTTACCAGGGATCCATTTTGGAATTTCAGCGAGGATTCCTCAAAGTGCAGTGCTTGGCTGGCCTGCCCGCTGCTTAACGACGCTTTGTCAGTCCTGATAAAACCGATGCATCGCAAGGCTGTGACCTTGCTTGTCGCGCTCCCCACAATCAACAACCCCTCTCACAAAAAGGAAAACACGCATGATAATGTCGATGATGAGTTTTCAACTTCGCCCGGCATGGACGGTCAACGAATTTCGCCTCAAACAACCGCCCCCCCCCCCCTCCCATGAGAATTTTCCGCCCGAGGCACTGCAAGGATCCGGCCAGGGAGATCAGCAAGCTCACCATGCTGAACCCAGCCTCAACGTGAAGCGAGGCAAGACGAGGCAACGGGAACATTCATTTCCGGGGCGCAACTTCTAGGTCGAAACGAAGAATTCAAGGGGTATTTGTCTAGTGTTACAGTGGTGGAACACAAATATGCTGGTTATCCTTGATCACGTGGCTGTCTGTCTGGCTGGCGTCTGTCTGGTTGGCGTCTGTCTGGCTGGCGTCTGTCTGGCATGGCAATCAAGCATGCCACAAAACCTAGGTCTTGCAAGGAAGAACCATTCCATTGACAGGAGTTGAATCTAAATTGCTGAGGATACCAGTCGAATTGCCCACAACACACTACTGCTATCCCAGAATGTCAAGCCAAATAAGGAATCTGCAGAATCCTTGCAGAAAGATTCCAGCCAGGTTGCATTGCGCCGCCTACTATCTCTCTCACTGAGTAAGAACAAAGTCATCAGCTGGGCACGATTTCCCCCCCCCCCCCCCACAAATGCCCTAAGCCTCTGCTCTCCGTGGTTCCAGCTACCACATCCGTTGAAAAAATGGGAACCGGTTTCCATTACAACTAGCTGATTTCGTTGCCATGTACCACTGGGAACTTGGTCCTTCACCGCAAGAGATCCACTGAGCAAGATGCAGGGATGGCCCCCTGCCCCGAGACAACCCACAAAGCGCCCGTTTCCACAACGGTCGCCTTGTGCGAGTCACCTTCGTGGACAATGAAGGAAGTCTAGAAGGAACTTCCATACGTAGTACTGGCGCTAGGTGAAGGCTAGCTATCATGAAAGCAGATGACAGCGGAAGGAGAAGAGAAGAGAAAAGAAGAAAAGAAAAGGGAGGCAGATTTCGTGGCACTTTGGGATAGAAAGTGCTCAAAGTGAGCGCCCTGTAGGTGTTCCGGGGAAGCGCAAACCACCGCTTACGCGACAGCTGATTTTTGCGGCTTTGGAACGGGGCAGGAACGTAGGAACGTAGGAACGTTTAAAAAAAAGAAGAAATGGTTCGCTGTCGGTCCCATCCGGTATGTTGGCAACGGGATACTCCAATAGCCTCTGAGAACCAGCAAGCTTCGACCGGCGGTCCCATCACGTTTCGCCA